TATGAATTAATATAATTTATGAAAGTGTGATTTCTTCATATTTTGCACAGGTTGGAGACCTCTCAAGGAAAGGAAAGAACTTTCAAGATTTATTATGATTCTTGCCAAATATCCTCTTCTTTCATACAGAAAACGTTCATATATGATTGGCCTCTTTCTTATTATACTTCCAATTTAAGCCAATTCTGTCCACTTGACTCCCTCACACACACACACACACACATTTGCACAAAGGAAACAAAGCCTGACACAATCAATCCACAGTTTTGAATCTCTTTAATCACAATCAAACACCCCTTTCGGCACCATGCAAACATTATCATTATAATGCAAACACTCAATGATAAATATCACAAAGAATGAGAAGAGAGCAATGTAACTGTTAAAGACACTTTACTACGCACTTTGACACAACTCCAGGGCACACACACAAAAATCAAAATGTGAAAGTTCCACTACATTACTTTTGAATAGTAATGCAATGACACAAAGAAGAAACAATGACACAAAGAAGAAAATAATCACTCACAAATCATTACAATTATTTTGGTAGTTCCATTTTTATAATTTTTTTTATATCGCCCATACCTTTGGCATAGGTGGTTGGCACATACATGCAGCACCCTCATAGCAAAATGTTCCCTGCCTTGGTTATGATTATGTATCACACTATGTACCACTACACCTGCCCACCAAAATATTTCCCTCAAATCCCCATAACTATCCCTCGTCTCCTCCTCCATGGACTCCTGAGGTCCCAGTTCCAACAACTTCCAAAATTTGTACCATGTTCTCTTCTTCAGCTGAAAAATGTGCTGCCCTGGCACAAAGCTCATGCCAAGAGAAAAGTTAAAATCAAAATAAAAGAATCAGTTACTAAAATTACCTGCTTAATGCCAATGAATAAGGGAAATATATTTTGGAAGGAAAAGGTGAAAAAAGGAGTAATAGATTACTGCAACTAAACCATTAAAGAAACTAAAAGAAAAACTAACTTACGTGTTTGCACGTATATATTCAGACAAAAAGAAATACTTGTAACTACTAAAAATTGGTATCTCAATGAATTTCCTACCAGGATTGAGAAGAATAGCCTCTGTATACAGTTTCACAGCCTCCTCATATTCACTAGATGCAAATGCAGAAATTGCCTCTCTCTTTTTGTCATTGGATTTGTCCGTGTCTTCTTCAGAAATTTCTTTGTCCTTGTCTCCCATTGGTTGCGGATCATCATTATCAGGCTCTATAACACAAGTATTACACTTAACTTTCACATAATGTTGACAAAACTACATTTCAAAATTCAAGAACAAGATTTGTTTTAAGAATTGAATGATAAATTTTTTCCATGTCAAACACACAACCTGAAGTAGTCAAATGTGACTACTTTTACTTAATTCCATAGCAAGTTCACAAAAAAAAAGGATGAGTTAACAATATGACAAGCACAATGTTGAAGATCATAAAGACCTTTGTGTGTTTAATTTTTTTTAAATTTTATTTTATTTCAGTTAGTACTTCATTTCATTCAGTTAGTAAATATTTAATTAGCAGAAGAATAAAAAAATTATTCAATTTCGAGGTGAGGAAGAAGAGTACTTATCAACAAAGATTCAAAGGACAGTTTAAATTTGCCCAACATTCTTAACTGTTTATATGCACATGAGCAATTGACAATGGACTTTCGAGAATGGATATTGTTACTAATAATTTTAATTTGATGGATTCCGAGAAATATATCGAGTTACAATGGAAAATTTGTCGGGTTAATATGTTTTAACTCGCACGGAATGCAACTGCTGCAAATGAATTAATTTTCACAAATTAATTTTTTTCTCTCTACAAGATTCAAAAAGAAACATGGCAAATTTCGTTGGAAACACTTCGTTGTAGTCTGATATATTAATACAAGAAAACATTACCATTATAAAAAATGTAAATATCTTAATTATAATAAAGACAATGACAAATATAATACAAACCAATAACACCAGAATTGTCCAATTCTATATCACTTTCTTCCAGTGGTTCTTCTTCAGCTGGCTCCTCAGCTGGTTCAGGCTCAGCTGCCTTGGGTTCTGGCTTTTTTGGAGAATCCCCTGCAGCTCTGGGTGGAGGAATTTTTCCTCCCATTGATAAAATATATTGTTTAAAAAATGCAAGTTCTGGGTGTTGTAGTAATTCCGGTTGTTTCTTGCACAAATCAATGAAAGTCTTGAGCTGCTCAATATGAGCCTTTGGAAATGGAAGAGATGACATTTTTATCTGAAAATGGAACGAACCGTTTTAAGAAACTATATTTTCCATTACTGAATTATCATTTACCGCCTATTGTTAAAAACAAATACAGCACGATCAAATCTTACATTCGTGATTGGAGACGTATTGGACGAAAAATAAGTCAGAAACTAAAATTACTGATAATTTACCTTCCCCGTGACTTTACTGGGATGAAACTCGTATAATTATATGGAAAATAGAGAATGACAGAGCAACTTCAATTACGAAGAGCGCACGCCTCCAGTAAGCTAAAGCGTTGTTCTCATGCATTTAAATATGTGTTTTTAAAAGAAAAAATCAGGCGAGGAAAGGTAAAAATACAACTCTTCTCCAAATACATTATTACTTACAGCATAAAATTCTATACTTTTATGGCGGCTTTGTAAAAATCGTAAACTTCCTCAATTGCCCACGACCTACGGCGAAGTTACCAGAACATCAACGCCGACCACCGCGCACTCACTGCCCACTAGAATGCAAACATGTACGATCATTCAAGGCGTAGATTTTTAGGTTTTTAAAAATCCATTTCAAGTTTTCTTGGTGAGCAAATTATGATTTTTAGGTTTTTATTATCGAAATCGTGAGGGAAGGTAGTTTCATAATGTTGACGGTCATACTTAATTAAAACTGAAATGTTGCCTAGTGCCTCAACAGATTAAAGAGTTCGGAGAAATGACATACACAATTTAAGAGCTTATTGTTCTATCAGTACAAAATTAAATACCAAAAACTCAACGGAATCTACAATTCGAAAATTCACCCGTAATTCAAAAAATACAAAGTATCAGAATTTGAATCAGATGAAAGACAAGAGCCCGGCTTCCCAGTTATGATTAATACCACCCTTCCGAGCACGTGCAAACTCGCTTGACAATGAGATGAGTGTTGACCAGTGGCTCTCATGTCTCCTCCGAAAAAAAAATATAAAATATTGAAAAAATGTAGTAAAATATCTTTGTATTTGTAAACTTATTGTTAGACTAATAGTTTATTGTACTAAAGTTGTTTTTTAAATAAAAACAATTTTGTACATATTTGATGGGCTGTTAACGTACTAATGTATTATTTTGTTTAAATTTCTTGTCTACAATATTTTAGTAACCCTTCGGAAGAGTCGTTTCGTGCTATTAGTAGTTGCTTGGAAATGCCTGGCATTCCCTCTCTTCTTTTTCTAATATTACTAACAATTATAGTCATTTTGCAATTAATCCTTCGTGATATTCAGTTAATGTTAATTTTTTTATCTAAAACTTATAAGTGAATTTTAATTGTTTCAAATGCAATGTAATCTAAGTAGCGATCATATATCACTTTGCTTATAACTATTACAATTAAAGTTATTTTTTATTTATGTAAGAAAAACCTAAACATTATTGCTAATTTTTATTAAGTACTGTTGTCACTTACCTCTTATTGTTCTCAAGAGTCACAAAGTCAATTTTACGTAATATTACGGATGAATCTAGAAGAACGGAGTCCCCCGTCACTAGCGCTGATCCACAGGGAGAGAAATGAAGGAAATCCACCCGCTTTAAAAGTTTTCAATAACTATTAATTTTAAACTGTCATGAAACTTTCAAGCAACAATATTTTCGAATAATCATTAAAATATATAAAATCGTATCACAGTATGAGCTGAGTGTAGCCTGCGACATTTTACAAAATCGGTAATATAGTACATTCGACCAAAACATTTTGAATTTCCCTTCCTAAAATTTGTCTCGGGATCGGTCCCTGACCGTCACAAAAAATGGATTCTACTTTAAGCACATTAACGCATACTACACATTTTATTTTCTTGGAGGGAAGGGAAATAAGCTCTTCAAAGGTACTGTAAATTCCTGAAGAGTAGGACGATACCGTTTTATTTGGCAGTTATCACATGGTCTGGGAATACTTGTAGTCCCTTCGTGACTACTTAAGGGTTAACATACAGTGAAACTCCGTTTACACATTTTTGTGTTGGTAATACGTTTTTCACGTTTATATGCGGTTTTTTGTAAGTCCAGGATAAATACCTAGACTTCCCATGCTAAATTATTTCAGATATGATTTTTATGTTTATACGTTTTTCACGCTTATAACTTCGGCAAATGACATCATTTGAAGATCTGTGTTTCAGAGAGATTTCATTAGGAAACAATTTATATCTGCAATTTTGTAGTTGTAGGAAGATGCCGACAAAATGTTTGAACTTATTCAATATTTTTAAAAAAATCAAGAATTTCTACCAAAAAGGAGACCCGTGTTGTACTTTAAGAAATGTTCTCGCTAACCGAGCACTAAGTTTAATCCATAGATTTGTAGCTAGTTTTGAGAAAATTTTGAAAATGTTGTTGAAGCTTCATATAAAGTAACCTCAAAAATCAAAATATTCGTTTCAAACTTGCAGAGCCTCGAGTTCGTTCATATCGATCTTGAAATATTAATTTTTGAGAAACTCGTCTGAACGGTTTAGGCGCTTGCGTTGACCACAGACGGCATACAACAGTTTTGCCGTCAATCGATTTTTCGGTAACAAGGATCCACAAAACATGGATTTTGACTACACAACGTTTTAGAGGATACTTTAGGTAAAATTAATTAACTACATGTAGGAACACAATAAATCCACTTTTTAGTTAGCAGGGACAATTAAAAGTATTTCTTGTCAAAACCCGATACCGATTTTTTAGCAACATGAAACACTCTCCAAATACGTCTGTACAGAATGCAGGCGAGACGGGCCTAGAATGCAGTCGGGCCGGGAAAGCATAACGGAAGATAACTGTGAAAGCATTAGAGGAAGATCTGCTTTTTGCGTGGTGATTAAACGTATTTGACATCACAAGTTCATGAACCACTTCTGATTTTACAAATAATACGAGAAAGTATGTGTTTCTCGTTTACGAAAAATACCTCAATTTACAGTCTGGCCTTGGTACACAAATATCATCGGAGTAGGCCGGGGAGATAAATAAACCGGTAAAATCCGATTTTGGTGGTTAACATATCAAAAAAGCTAAACAATCACTCTGGCTTATCATCACCATTTCCTTAATTTCCCCCGGTAGCTAATATAATAAACTTACGATTTAATCCACTTATATGTAAAATAGATAATTACTGTTGACCGCAAGGTCAGGATGTCCTTGCTTCCTAGAGACTTCCGTCTCGATAGTGAAATTTGTAATTCCCAGGTAGGTGTGTTAGGTTATATTTAATTTTTACTTTCTCGTATACATACGTATGTGTGGAGTAATATACGTAACATAGGGAAAGTAATGTAATACTGCGTGAAAAAACGGCGCATTTTCGACAGAAAAAATAATTATCGGACTCTGACAACAAAAAAGTGGATAAATCCAGTTGTTAAATTTAGAAAGAAAGTCCTCTAACACATGGTGAAGTCTGAATCCCTATTCGTGGGGACTTGATACCGAAAAAACAACTGACGACAAAAATCCGGCCGTCTGTATGCCTGTGAACACTAGTGCTTAACCATACGTAGGATTTTTTCCAAATTGAAGACAGCCGTGTCCATCTAGCTCTACTCAAGGCGCCGCGATTTTGAAAATCTTTCTTCGAAATTTGGGGGTGCTTTACATGAAGTTTCCCAGACATTTTCTAAATTTTCTCAAAAACGGCTCCAATTTATTCTTTGAATTTCTTGTAAGAATAGAATACACTCACTCTCTTAAAAGTCATATTTTCACGCTTAACTCCGGGTTTTCGAAAATTGCAAAATTTAGAATTTTTTTACAACTACAAAAAATAAGATAAAGATGTTTCCTTCAATTAAAATTTGTTCTCCATGAATTTTTTTTTTTTTTAATTTCAGTAGTTTTTGCGCAATATTGCGTGCAGTATATGCAATTAAAAAAATAAAAGCAAGAATTTCTCAAAAACTACTCCATTTTTTTCTTTAAACTTTGGCAGGGATAGTGCTAAATGCACTCTTTAAGATGACATAAACGCCATAATGATCTATTCTTTTGTTTTTCAAAACATTAACAAAATGTATCGGTGTTGACTTGTCTCTTATGTCGTTAATATTTACACAAGCGGCGATTTGTTCACATTATTATATTTATGAGTATATGTGCTTTAAATAATGCAATATAAAGTTTCCCGAAAACTGGACCGTTTTCTGAGAAAACTAGCTCTAAATTCTGCAATTTCAGAAACGCTCCAACGCCATTTTCTCGAAAAGGCTCCAAAGGCGTTGGATTGTTTCCCATTTGAAGGATTGATTCATCGATTCCTTTTGCTTCTGGACATAAATGTAACTTCAAATTAACTTCTCCCCATAGCACGTCACGCACAGCTTTTAACTGTTTTTGACGTAAATAAATAAAAAGAAGAAACCCCTGTCCATTTGGCCTGAGTCGAAGCTCTGCGATTTTGAAAATCATTCATTAGATTTTGGGAGTACCTTACATAAGGCTCCTGGGACACTTCCAAAATTTTCTCAAAAACTGATCCAAACTTTTTCTGTAAATTTCTCGTAAGAATAGAGTAAAATACAATTATAAAGGTGGCAGAGGTCCTATTTACACGGTTAACTTTGAATTTTGGAAAATTTTTCCCTTCAAATTAAATTTGTTGTCCATAAATTGTTCTTTCATTAACGTCATGTACATTTATGTTAAAATTTTAGTAGTTTTCGCACAACATTGCGTGCAATTTTAAAAAAGTATAAAAACAAGATTTTCTCAAATACGACTATAATATTTTCTTTAAAATTTTGGTTAAAATTACAAAAATGTAAAGTTTTTGACTTGTCTCTCACGATGTTAATACTTACATTAGCGGCAATTTGTCCATATTATTATATTTATAAGTATGTGCTTTACATACTGTCGTAAAAAATTTATCGAAAACTACCGTTCTCTGTGAAAATTAACACAAAATTTCTCAATTTCAGAAACGGTGGTAACTTTACAACGATTTCGAAAGGTTAGGGGTAATGGCACTCTTAAATATGATGTAGATTTCATTTAGGTTTTTCATTTTCATTTTTTCAATAATTACACACATGTAATATTTTTGAAAGACCTCTCACGCCGTAAATATGCACATTTCCAGGAATGTGTAAAGACAATTGTATTTGAGAGTTAAAGTGCTTCAAATGAATTCTAATGAAGATTTTCGAAAACTCAATTTTTTTCTGTGAAAAAGAGCTTCTAATTTCCAATTTACAGAAGCGCCTAAACGTCAGTTTTGTAAAAACGACTCCCAATTTTTCAAAGACAATTGCTATTAAGACGAGGTTTTAGTGTTCTTTAATAATCTTTAAATAATATTTCCCTTCTACTATTAGGAAAACGAAAAAATAAGAAAATTTCAACAACAAAAAAAATACTTTGGGGGGGGGGCGATGGATATCAGCTGGCAAGTATATGTGCTAGTTGCCACGTTGGGTAGTAGAGTGTTCGAGTATCTAGCCGAGACCAAAGGAAATAGAAAACAAATACGGGAAAGACTGTACCATTCTATAGCACCGCTGGTTTTAATGTTTGTTGCGTTTTTCGTTTTTACGCATTTTCAATTTTATTTAAGTGAATAAGCTTTTCTCAAAAACAGCCCCAATTTTTTTTTTGGAAATGTTTAACTCTATTAGAGAAAAGTAACTCTTACAACAATACAAACCTAGCACATATAACACATTGCATAATTTTATTTATTTCTTAGATAGTTGGAACTTTCGATAACTTTTCAAAAAATCGCCAATGTTCAATATTGTTATGACGTGTCGAGCGTCATAAGGGCGAATTTTGATGACCTCCATTGCCCCAAAAGGTTAAAATAAAATGCTCTTAAAATGATTTTTAAAACCTCACAAACAA